TAGCTAGAGAGAGAAAGAGAATGTCAGAAAACCGGAATGCAATTAATGCAAACAGACAAGTTACGAAACAGATGGTACATCAACGAAACAAGGCGGCAGAACTTGGCTAACTAACCTTCTTGGGCTCTGGGATAGGTTCAGCAGGTGCTTCTTTCTCAGTCTTCTCCTCCCCTTCACTGCCTCCTGCAGAAGCGGCTGCATCCTTCTCCGTGCCCTCATCACCCTCGCCCTATAGACACGAAATTAACCGTAAGTGTTACAAAGATCCTCAAAATACGGACTTATACTTTGTTCCGTTACGCAATAATCCCTCACCATCTTGTCTTTTTCAGTTGAGGGTTTGCGCTCAACATCCGCGGGCCTGGGCTCGTCCCGTTTGGGAGGTTCAGAACCAGGTCCACCGGATGACAGCCTCTCTCGCTCCTCCTCTTCCTCGTTGGGCTGTTCCAGGATGCGCAGGTCATTTTCAGTTCCTCCTTCCATCTTTATTACAGCTAACAGAGCCAAACGAAGCACATGCTTTGAGAAAAGGGCACGTGTGTAACTGACCGCCATAGTTCATCATTACCAGTGGACACCGTTTAGGAATGACATGACAATTTCTATTTTTTAGACATTTAAAACTAGCAAATGAAAAGCACTTCTCTATACCTGCATCTAAAATCTTGGTGATTTGCGGAGCGTGCTCTATGTCCAAAGAGATGGATTCAAAGGAGTTATTGTCCATCAGATACATGTAGACGTTCAGCCGGTTCTGTAGAGCACTGTGGGCTTCTGCTTTACGCCTCCCAGCCTCATCCGGGTGGTACTTAGTACGAAACCTGACAGGCAGACAGAGAGGAGAAAGAAGGACAAATGGGGTGTTTGGAGGGGGAAAAAAACAGCATGTTAGCAACTATTTCTGAAGTTAACCTCACAAACTAGTCACCAAGTGACCTGCTAGTTATAACCTGCCTTCTACATTTCTAAAAGTGCTTTGATAAAACTAAATTGGATCCAACAACCCATTATCCCAGATAATTGGCCCCCTTTCAGTCATATGACTTTGTGGCTCTATTCTAAAACTAGTGAGCTGCCTAGACAGGCAGCATAAACATGCTCCCAATGTGAAGGAGCAATCATTTTGTTGACTTCCAAGATGCCTTCTTTTAGCTAGATTCTAAGACAGCATCACATGTATCCTTCCAAGATGAAGCGATAGAAATAAATTTACTTGACAGACCCTTTTCACATTTCCAGGGTTACTGGAAGCTGAAGTCATCAGTTTGATTAACTTCTATAGTGGAGAACAGAAACTACAACAAATGTCATTTTTGCGTTTCCATTGGCTCCAATAGAAAAAGAGCATTTAGCATTTCTATGACTTTTTATTGTTCATTGTATTTGGTGTATAACCGTGTGCGTGTTAAATATTAGATTAACAACATGTTAATGTCAAACCGCATTGAAATCAACTGTGTGAAGGGAGTACAAAAATACTGCATATGTATAGCGTTCCAAATCATTCCCTTCTTACGTTTCATTCCAGTTAAGATGCTGTCTTAGAAGGCAGCTGCATATTTAGGCAGTATTCAGCAAGACAGCACACTAGGTTTTGAAGAGCTTATGACACCAATTTGTCGGCTGAATTTTTTTAAGTGCACTTCTGTCAGTCTTACTACACATGCTATAAACAAAACTTGTTTAAGTGCGTGTTTGTGTATATACAGTAAGGTACACTCACCACCAAAGTAGTAGAAACAAAATTAGTAAAAACAACAATACAAACTGGTGCATTATCAAGAAACGAGAGTTGGGTGAAACATTTTCCATTGTGTGCACTAAATTTACCTGATGTACTCCCCGCATTACAACACATTTACACTGAGAGCGGTCTTCTCAGAGGAGTGTGTACATACACACCATTTCTGCGTTTTTGGGGAGGTTTGATTGATCCAAATATCAAAAATGAAAAAGAAAAAGGGGAAGAAAGGCATCACACACTACAGAAAAAAAAAAA